GTCCAAGGTCCTGAAAGTGCTGGAATGTTTCAGGACCTTGGCCAGTGTGAAGGACTGAAGAAATAGTCCAAGGTTCTTAAAGTGCTAGAATGTTTCAGGACCTTGGACAGTGTGAAGGGCTGAAGGAACTGTCCAAAGTTCTGAAAGTGCTGGATAGTTTCATGACTTTAGACGGTGTGCTGGGCTGAAGGAACCATCCAAGTTATTGAAAGTGTGGGAAATTTTCACGACCTTGGACAGTGTGAAGGGCTGAAGGAATTGTCCAAGGTCCTGAAAGTGCTGGGATATTTCAGGACCTTGGACAGTGTGAAGGGTTGAAGGAACTGTCTAAGGTCCTGAAAGTACTGGAATGTTTCAGGACCTTGGAAAGTATGAAGGACTGAAAGAGCTGTCCAAGTTCTGAAAGTTATGGAATGTTTCAGGACCTTGGCCAGTGTGAAGGACTGAAGAAATAGTCCAAGGTTCTTAAAGTGCTAGAATGTTTCAGGACCTTGGACAGCATGAAGGGCTGATGGAATTGTCCAAGGTCCTGAAAGTGCTGGGATATTTCAGGACTTCAGACAGTGTGAAGGACTGAAGGAGCTGTCTGAGTTCCTAAAGGTGCGAGAATGTATCAGGACCTTGAACAGTGGGAAGGGTTCAAGGAACTGTCCAAGGTCCTGAAAGTGCTGGAATGTTTCAGGACTTCAGACAGTGTGAAGGACTGAAGGAGCTGTCTGAGGTCCTAAAGGTGTGAGAATGTATCAGGACCTTGAACAGTGTGAAGGGCTGATGGAACTGTCCAAGGTCCTGAAAGTGCTGGGATATTTCAGGAACTTGGATAGTAGGACGGGTTAATAGAACAGTCCAAGGTCCTGAAAGTGCTACGATATTTCAGGACTTATGAGAGTGTGAAGGACTGAATGAGCTGTCCAAGTCCTGAAAGTGCTGGAATGTTTCAGGACCTTGGACAGTGKGAAGGGYTGADGGAACTGTCCMAGGTCCTGAAAGTGCTGGAATGTTTCAGGACCTTGGACAGTAGGAAGGGTTGAAGGAACTGTCCAAAGAGCTGAAAGTGCTGGGATGTTTTAAGACTTTAGACAGTGTGAAGGACTGAAGGAACTGTCCAAGGTATTGAAAGGGCTGGAGTTTTTCAGGACTTTTGACTGTGTGCAGGGTTGCAGGAACTGTCCAAGGTCCTGAAAGTGCTGGAATGTTTCAGGACTTCAGACAGTGTGAAGGACTGAAGGAGCTGTCCAAGGTCCTGAATGTGCTGGAATGTTTCAGGACCTTGTCCAGTGTGAAGGACTGAAGGAGCTGTCCAAGTCCTGAAAGTTCTGGAATGTTTCAGGACTTTGGGCAATGTGAAGGACAGAAGGAGCTGTCCAAGGTCCTGAATGTGCTGGAATGTTTCAGGACCTTTGACAGTGTGAAGGGCTGATTGAACTGTGCAAGTTCCTGAAAGTGCTGGGT